GACGTGCGACAGAACCTCCATGAGTCATCACAGTGGAATCCAAAGCAGCAGTCGGTTGGATAGCCCTCTCAAGGGGGAGGTGTTCGGGGGCCAGCCGTCCCTAATGACCGAACATCACATCAGTTGGATGCATGTGTCACGTGCAGGACACGGGCCAGACGTAGGCATGCCCTGATTGGTCAGAATGCCAGCCAATCCGAGTCAAGCACCTTGACTCGACGGTTCTCGCCCCCTCACGGACATTCTGGCACGACCTTGTGGAACACTCTGTGACTACCCTATATATAAACAGTTGTACTGATTTTCCTTTGTCTCCATAAAGGGCTGTGTACAGCTACCGTGCCTTTTGCTATACCATAGTGGGTGGAGCAGGAAGCCAAGGGACCGACACAGAGTTGCACTACCTTACATCAAGACATAACACTGCCATGCCGCTCGAAAACGCGAGGGCTGAAGTACTGCCAAGCTGCCCAAGCCAAGACAGCAGCAGCCTGGATGTAGAGGTTAGCTTCGGACCACGGATCCTCCGGTTGGTAACTCTGCGCCCTAACAACTGAGGGTTCTTGAGCAGATTTCATTATAAAACCTGAGTAGCATTCACCTTGTGTTATTTGCTTGATTATCACGTATTCATGGACTCACGCACTCATACACACGATCGAAGTTTTCCCATAAGCTTCTCGGGTCGAGTTTGTTCTTACCGTTCACCTGAAACAAGGGTCGCTAGCGCTCTTAAAATTCTCAGCAAACAAAAGTAAGCTAACAAACGGGAGTACTGACATAAAAAAAAGCATCGTAGTGTTCTGAACTGGGTACTAGATATAGCGTGAAGCGGTAATGAAGGGTAATTCCACGCACAAATTACCCAAAATAAAAGAAACTGTTACCCAATAAAAGTCTGCACCCTGAGCATGAAAATTCTCTTTCCAAGCATCCGCTGTGTAATGATGGCTAAACCTTGTTCAGACATGGCGTTAGTAAAACCTAGGTCCTCTTGGATCCGACCGCATTCCAAGGGAAGCTTTTCAAACACTCCAAGACACACTAATTAATTAACCACAGTCCGTTGGACACCCTGGATGAGGGTTGCGTCCAGAGTAGACAGCTTGGTTGGCATATTCAAGAAGTGGCCTGACTCAGGCCCCATAGATTATCTGGAAGTCTGTGCAACTAATATGGGGGTGCACCGAATCATCTGTAGGACGACGAATGCCTCTGAGCAAGTTTCTCATGATGCAGTGAGGAGGATATGTTTGAAGGGGGCTGGATACCGAGATCCTTTTTGGTATCTAATCTTGTGGTATCTTCGGATCCATCCGAACCATGCGCGACGAAGGCGTTCGCTCAGTCTCCTCCGAATGACATGCGGACGCGTTTTTCGTCGTTCACTGACCACCGCCCGGCGATGTCGACATTCATTTAAAAGCTATTGACGTTGGAACTCCAGGATTTTGAGTTATCCGCAAAAAATAGACGTGGACTTGAAATAACATCGGAAAGGTCGTCGAGACAACAATGGTCCCAAAACGGAGCCTTGTGGAACTCCAGTGGCGAAGTATCAAAGTAGAGTAGGTTGAGGCGATTTTCACTCGGAATGTTTCATCTGGCAGGAACGTCATAACCCGGTGTAGAATCTCTATATGAATCCCATAAGAATGGAGTTTGTGGGGCAGCGGGACGTTTGGGACTCGATGGAGTGGATGTTTCTCATGCAAGAATGGTTTAGGAGAAATCCGAGTTGCGCTGGGGATCAAAGGTCATTGGTACTCGGGTGACTTAGGGTGGCCCAATTCAGAATGCGTTCCATCGTCTTGCACGGCATGCTAGTGGCGGTACACTACTCTGATTGCTGAATGTGAGCTCAGAAGGCTTCTTCTGTTTTCATCAACATGAATCACCATGAGCCACCGCCTTCGGAGAACCAGTGTCCACACTAGTCTCGTGGCTCGGATTCATCCATTCTGGCGGGCGGTTCAAGTTGCGTGCTCGTGGTGTTGGTTCGCATTTTGATTTCGGATATAGCTCACTTTGATAGTCAGTTTGGGCTGCGTAGATATGGATACCATCTGTGATGTGTCATCCTTGTGCTCAAATTGTGATCTACCCGTTTCGGACTCCGACAAAGCTTTGAAATGTGATATTTGTGCAACTTGGGAGCACATAGAGTGTTCCCACATTCACTCATCCATCTATGCTGCTCTCTTGGCTCATCCCAGCGATAACTTATCATTTACGTGTACTAGATGCAAATCTATCTCCACATCACCTTTAAGGAAGAAACAGAAATCGAAGAAATCGAAGCGATATGCACCAGCGCCATCTAGCGACCTGCAAGACAGTCTTGTTCGGAACGTTCCAGATGTCAACTCTGTGGAACCTTCAGTAACTCTTAATGCCCCCATGAGGTCATCCGATTGTACTGATGAACAGAATACGCAATCACCTTGGTTATCAACGAAACGGAGACATCGTATGAAAACCCGGCCGCCAGCTCATGACCATGAGGTCGTTGAAAGTTTACCTGTCAGCTCCGCAAGCGCGATCCAACCAACTGTTTCAGGAAACCGAGAAACACTCAAGTTTCCACGCGATCATTGTTTGATGCTGTTTGGATCGAAAGAATCTGGTGAAGAAGGCGCACAGGCTAGATACAACCATGATCTGAATCTGCTCCAGGGACTTGTTGATAAACTAGCCGATGCTGATGAACCAGGAATTCGAGTTCGACGAATTTTACGATTAGGAAAACGAGTTGCGGGCATCCACCGACCGCTAAAAATTGTATTCGAAAATGCAGACGCTCCCAAGCACTTACTTTCTCGCGCATGGAGACTTAAAGGTATGGATATTTACATCAGACCAGATATGGATCCATCTCAGCGAGCTCAGCTCAAAGCCGCTGTCGTGGAACTTCGAAGGCGCACTCTTGAAGGTGAAAATGATCTACGTATCGTAAATTTTCGAATAGTCAAATGGCGTGCATTCATAAACCGCCCGGTCACCTTAACAGCGCGCAGCCAGAGTCATTCGCTGGCTTGCGTGTAGCTTTTATGAACGTACGCAGCCTTTTATCGAAACAAGATGATCTGCGGCAGTGGGTTTCTGATGTAAATCCTGACATTCTTGGTGTTGCAGAAACCTGGTTGGATTTGACTGTCCTCGATCAAGAGATAAAACTCCCTGGCTATGAGCATTTTCGTTGCGATCGTCAGCAGCGGCTTCATGGTGGGGTGCTCCTCTATGTGAAGTCGGACATACGTTGCCGGTTACAAAACACTTATTTGAGTAATGATTGTTACTGTGAACAAATTTGGTGCGAAATCATCACGACCAAAGGCAATTTTCACGTGGGAGTGCTTTACAGAAGTCCAGCTAATATCTCTTCCGACTGGATTACACGAGCTAAGAATAATCTATGCGCCCGAAACGTGCTACTTATGGGTGACTTCAATTTTCCCCATGTAAATTGGTCCAGCTATACGGCCCTCCCTGGTTGTACCGACTTGGAAACCACATTTCTCAATACGGTGCTAGAAATGGGATTGATACAGCATGTGCATCAACCGACGCGGTCTCTGCCTTATCAGATTCCTTCCTGCCTAGATTTACTATTTACTCAAGCCGAGCAAAGATTGGATTATTTATCAGTTTCTGAACCACTGGGCACTAGTGATCATATGACATTGTTTGCATATCTTAGGCTTCCACATCATCGCACTCCACCGCGATTACCCCAGAGAAATGTTTGGAAAACAGACTTTGATGCTTTATTAATTGCGGCAAATTCGATGGATTGGACACTACCAACAGAAGGATCCGTTGATACATGTTGGCTTTCTCTTAAAGACAAAATATCATGGCTATGCGAACTATATACGCCTGTTCGACATTGCAAATCAAATCGATGTCGCCCACCCTGGTTCGATCGCGAGCTTGTAACGTTGACCAAACGCCGCCGAAAACTGTGGAACCGTTATAGACAGTCTCGTGATCCCGTGGATTATGCAACTTATAAGCAGCAGCGAAATTCATGCAATTTTACGAAATTGAGAAAACGCCAAGCTTATGAAAACTCTCTCGCCGAATCGGCCAAAACAACGCCCAAAAGGATTTTTGCTTATGTCAACAGAAATCTCAAATCCTCTGATGAGCTACCGTACATACAAGATCAAGATGGCAATACCATCACCTCAGACTCCGCGAGGGCCACTGAGTTTGCCTGCCACTTTTCTTCTGTATATGCCACAAACCCCTCAAGAGACAGTCTTACTGGTTCCTGCGCGGTTAGATTGGATTCGTTGGTGTGTTGCACCGAAAAGGTGTGTTCTCTGCTTCTGTCGCTCAATACGGCAAAGTCCGCCGGTCCTGATGACCTCCATCCCGTAATTTTGAAGACATTAGCACCAGTCATTGCACCTGCAGTCACGACTCTATACAATAAATCCCTTGCAGAAGGCGTGTTGCCTCAGGAATGGAAAGATTCAGTTGTTCGGCCGTTCCCCAAAGGCGGAGATCTTTCTCGAGTCACAAATTACCGTCCAATCTGCCTTACTCCCATACTCGCTAAGGTTCTGGAAAAGATCGTGAAGCAGGCTCTGTTGCATATGCTGGATGAATTTCAAATTCTTACGCCGGCACAACACGGTTTTCTTCGCGGCCGTTCTTGTGTGACCAACATGCTCACTGCTCGTCATCACTGGTTAGCCGCTGTTGACGCTGGGCATGCTGTTGATGTTATATTCGTGGACTTTAGTAAGGCGTTCGATAGGGTAGACCACACTGAACTGATAAAAAAACTGCAGGGCTACGGCATAGGAGGGGATTTACTTCGTTGGCTCAAATCGTTCCTGCATGACCGACGCTGGAAGGTGAGAGTAAACGACCACTGTACAGACTGGTATACGTCACCTAGTGGCGTACCTCAGGGAACGGTTTTGGGTCCAGTTCTGTTTCTACTACATGTGAATGATCTACCAGGGGTCCTACAGTCGGCAAGTCTGTTATTCGCTGATGATCTTAAGATATGGAAACCTATTGAGTGTGACGAAGACCGAGTGGCTCTTCAGCATGACTTAGAACGTCTGGTGGCGTGGTCCTCTGAAAGGAGGCTTCCGATCAACCCGGCCAAATCAGAATATATATGCCTGGGAAAGCCAACTTCAGATCGTGTATATCATCTAAATGGCCAAAAATTGAAATCGGTCTCATCAATCCGAGACTTGGGCGTTCAAATCCGTTATGATTTAAAGTCGAAGGACCACACGAGCGCTGTGTATAAGAAGTCTCTTCGCATTTTGTGGGCATTGAAGCGAAGTTTTTCGATGTGGACGGAAGAGTTAGTTTTAAAACTGTATCCCACCATGATCCGGCCTATATTGGAATACGGTGCACCAGCTTTCTCCCCACTTACGAAAGCCGAAGCCCGAAAGCTCGAACGTGTCCAACACCTCGTTACAAAGATGGTTCCCAGTCTGCGGAGTCTTTCTTATTCTGAGAGATGCAGCAAACTGAAATTGTTCACACTTGAATACAGACGTCTCCGGATTGATCTCATCTATGTTTTCCGTGTTTTGTGCCTAAACCATTTTCCGCAGTTGATGTTCTTGTTTGACATTCCAACAACCAACATCACCCGAGGACATCGATTTAAACTTACTGTCACACGCATGGACAATGTGCCTCATGGGTACAGTTTCTCTCGCCGCGTTGTGTCATTTTGGAATCGTTTACCGGCAAATTTCGTTCAGTCAGAAACAGTTCAAATTTTCAAACGTAATTTAGATGAACATTTATCTGATCTATGCTTCTGTGAGGATATCTCCTCCGCTCTGGTCCCGAAAGTCAGCTTCTCCACTAGCGGACCAAGGGCGTATATGGAATGATATTCGCATTTTTTTCTCTCGATGGAGTGTACACAGAATTTTTTTCTTTCGCTCCAAATATATGATTCTGATTCTGATTCTGATTCTGATTCATCGCATGCAGAGCAGCAAGACGGGGACAGAAAACCGCACGAGGGCAACCAGACAACTTATCTAGTTTTCAAGGTCACAGACAACTCAGATTCACTCAATCACTGAGTTGAAGAGAGATTATCCTTCGCGTTTTCTTTTTTCCAGAGCAACCGCCGAAATTCTCACATCAAGGGTTCACCAATAAAGTAAAAAGCATCCTTAGCACTGTAAACCCGTCTAAATTGATGATCGATTTTAGACACCTCTCTCTCCATAAGACGCTGCGAGAAGCCTACATGTTTCTGTGTCGACCTATCTCATCCATCTACGTAAATGATCGGTAGCCTTTACACCACATAAAATCTTTTATCTGTCCTTCCGAGTACGCTCGGTTGTGAGTTTTGGGAAACCTCAGTGCCCTAATAACACCCGGCTGGAACATAAATTCGGGGGTGTCCCACTGTATTATATATATAAATATATATATATATATACAAATGATTACACCAGCTCCAAGGAGGATATCCTTGTATTAATTCAGCCAATGTGGCTGAAAAGCGACTGGAACTGTGAAGGACGTCATCCACTACATATGCTAAAGTTTATCTTGGTCCGTCGGTTGGCAGCTTTAAGAATTTTCAGACTAGGTTTCAGTGAACAGTTCAGGGATCCCGCGGGGGTAAACAAAAGGATTAGATCACAAATGCGCAATCTCATCGGCCAAAATGACGTTTATCTGCTGGGAGGAACTTGCTTTAAAATCTCGCCGAGTTGCATTGCCAATATGCCGGGTACAAGCAACACACTCACCGGTCCGCGCTGTTGAGGAAATTGGACCTATCACTGAGACAAGCCTGGCATTGTATATACTCAACTACGTGCACCGAGCACCGTATTTTTTCTGACCCACCGGCATGATGGTTTTCTAAGCAGACGGAACTGTGCGTTTACATCCCATTTGCGGGTAATATACTACCAGGGGGCGTAACTTAAGAGACAAATCGCTGGTCAATGCGGCGCTGCAGCTAAAGAGCTAGTGTTATGATAAACAAAATACCCACCCAATGTCCACATGAGCCATATGGTTAAATGTGTGCAGGCTGTTTGCATTAAGTCTGTGAGCAAAACTGCATGAGTGTTATATATATATATATATATATGAGGAATAGGTGCTTCCTGATAGCTGTTCGAATACAAAAGTTGCAGAATATTACGTCGAGCAAACACTACTTCTACTGACTGCATTCGTGGCGCCAGCTTCTCTATCACAAAAGCGTTCATGGGATACGGTTCACGAATCATTTCCCGAGACTAGCTGAATAATTTACGCATTGTAGCAATCTGTTCGCTTTCGATGAAGACATGCATAACCGGACGCCAACGACCCATGCCATCCGTGATCAAGAAGGTGGGCAGCTCGCATATACAGATCAGATATACGTTGCTTCACCAAAACTCATCGAAATCGGTTTAGACCGTGTGTTTCGCTGATATCTGCGACCCCTTGGAAACGCCGGAACAGGGTTATCTGTTGTCATCTGGTGAAGCATATGTAGCCGCAATGACCTTTCCCACTCAAAAGCAGCCACAATTCCGGACTCTGAAAGATTTGCCAGTGCGGAGGGTGTGTTATTTTCCACAATAAAACACGAATAACAATAATACCAATAGTTGGGCCATGAGCAGCAGTTACATCGTGAGGATGGCGGACAACGACATAGCAAGGTGGAAAGCAAGAGGAAAAAGACGGGCTTACCAACATAGGTTGGAAAACAAAAAACCACTTCAACGCGGACTTCTTCCATAATGTTCTTGCATGACGAACAGAGTCGCGTTTACTGAGATCTTAACCTAAGCCAAGACCGAGTGACAGATGTCATTTTTCGACAACTCAAAAGCATTTGATCGAAACCCACATGCCCCTCTGTTTCACAACCTCGAGTCTAATGGGATTCAAGGAACAAACTACACTGGACTAAGGCGTTCCTATCAGACAGAACATTCTCAGTACAAGTAGACACGACCCACTGTTCTGAGGTATCCGTTAGGGTTCCACTAGGCTCCGCTTTCGGACTTATTCTGTTTCTGATA